AAAGTACATTGGACATAACTGCTGGGGAAAAAAAAAAAAAAAAAAAAAACTCCTTAAAGTGTTAAAAAGCAAAGATGTCACTTTGAAGACTAAAGTGAGCCTTACCCAAGCCATAGAATTTTCAATAGCCTCATATACATGTGAGTGGTCAACCATGAATAAGGAAGACTCCTGAAGAATTGGTGCATGTGAACTGTGGTGTTGGCAAAGAATATTGAATGAACCATGGACTTCTAGAGGAATGAACAGTCTGTATTGGAGGAAGTACAGCTGTAGTTCTCCTTAGAATTGAGAATGGCCAGACTTTGTCTCCTATTCTTTGGTCATGTTACCAGAAGGGACCACTCTCTTGAGAAGGATATCAAAGTTGGTAAAGTAAAGGATTAGCAATAAAGGGGAAGGCCCTCAAGAAAATGGATTGACACAGAACTGTGATGATGGGCTCAAACACGACAAAGATGATGAGGATGGTGCAAGACCAAGCAGTGTCTTGTTCTGTTGTGTACTGTGTCATTATGAGTTGGAATCAACTTGACAGCACCTAACAACAGCATAGATGATGACAGAGGCATATGAAAGAAATAAAAGAAAAATCGTGTTACTTTTTATTTATTGCTTGAAATAAAAATATTTTATTATATGAGAAGAAAGCAAACCATAACTTGTATTTCATCAAGTTGGCTAAATATTATTGAAAGAATTGTTTTAAATCAATTGTAATTTTCAAAGAGTAATAAGAGTACTTCAAATTTATTCAAAAGATCCATAGCATATTGTTTGTAAATAAACTATAACTATTTCTATGCTAATGCTGGAAAGGTCATTATATTTGTAAAGAATACAATTAACACAGCATTAATTAGGACTTATATTAGTGTTATGGACAAAAACTCTATATCTAAGTTGCATGATCCTATCTTATTTGCAGTGTCCCGAAGAAATGGTTTGTTTTCTATATGTCACATTATAACAGTCTTCTAAAAGAATTAAAAAAAAAAAAAAAAACACCTTTAAAAAAATAGCACGTAATTCATATCTTTTGTTTATTTTACATAAGGGAATTTTTATGAATAATATAAAACTCCACGCCACCAAAAAAAAGCAAACTCACTGCCGTCAAGTCGATTCTGACTCATCACAACCCCCTCCTTGAGTTTCCAAGGCAGTATCTCTATGGAAGTAGATTGCCCAGTCTTCCTTCTGAGGAGTGGCTGATGGATTTGAACTGCCAGCTTTCTGGTAAGCAGTCAAATGTCTAAGGTACTATGCCACCATGTAGATTAAAATTACGTATTATTTTGTAACCTATTAGAGAAAAAAGAGAGAAGCTCTGGTGGTGCAATGTCTAAGCACACAGCTACTAAAATGAAAGATACATGTACTAGCCTCTCTACAGGAGAAAGATGAGGCAGTCTGCTTTCATAAATATCAAAGCCTTGGAAACCCTACGGAGCAGTTCTACCCAAATCTATAGGACCGCTGTAAGCTGGAATTGACGACTGCAATTCTTTTTTGTTGTTGTTTTATATAAAAGAAAATAATTGTTCACTACAGATTGTTATTCAAACAGATTGAAGAATATTTATTTTAACATTGAGGATTATTCTGAGACTTGTTTAGAAAAGTTCTTGCTTTTCCTCAGAGTCGGACCTCTTGGAACCTTGTGCACTCTTTAACCAACTCCCAACAATAATCTCATTCCTGTCTTTTAGCTTTATTCAAAGGAAAGAACTTTGGAGGAAGAAATTTTGGCTACTTTAATCTCCTCTGATGTTATGAAGATCATGAAAAATTAGAATCTTAGTTTGTATGGGTGAATTTTGATAATATCTGGTTAATTTTAACATAAAGTCTGGAACAACTTTGTGAATGTACAATATTTGTCAAATTTAATTTTTTATGCAAAGCCTAAAAATATTTAGGTTTTGCTTTGATTATGCTTGATTTGGTATATGTGTAAAATATTGTTTTTGTATTCTTGAATTTAATCAACTTGGTTTGTCTACCTTGTCTTTGTATGGCACATATCCCTATAGGTTAAATGTATACAGGTTTTTAGTCTTATAAAGAAAGAGAAGGGCGGGGGCCGATGGGGACAAATACTTGTTTTGCTCAGCACTTATCCATAAAAATAGTACAAATAATTACCCATAAAGAAAATTTTACTTTCAAATTACCTTTCCCCTAATTTTTTGGGAAAAATTTCAGTGTGTCACAATGGTAAAACTGATTATAGGTATCTAAAAGTAATTGATATATTTGGGAGTAGAAATTAGAATTATTCTACTTAGAAAATGAAGAATAACTGGACATATTTTTCGTAAAAGTCCATTTTGTGGTGGTTGTTGTTGTTATGTACCATCAAGTCGGACCTGACTCATAGTGACCCCTCCTTGGGTTTCCAAGCCAGTTTCACTACAGAAGTAGATTGTCCCATCTTCCTTCCGAGGAGTGGCTGGTGGGTTTGAACAGCCAGCTTTCTGGTTAGCAGTCAAACACCTTAGGCACTAGGTTACCAGAGCTCCTCATTTTGTGGTAGTACATTTAAAAATATTATAAACTATTCTTATCACAAAGTATCATTCATATGCTATAATCATACCCATGGTTTTTTAAAAAAAGAAAAGAAATGTGCTTTAAACTTATTATATCAATATAATTAAAATTACAGTCTTTATGAATAAAGTTGTTTGTCTACATTTGGGAATTCACTCTAAATCTCTTCGAATTCTGCCCAAAGGTAATTTTATCATACCATGATTCTAAAATATTTTATATAAATCAGAAACATTTTCTGTGATGTCTTACAAATGTCTTTGCAAAATTAATTCAACATATATTACTTAATTACTGTCAGAGATACTTTGTATAGAAGATCATTATGAATTACCCACCCTATAGCAATCTATGTTTAATATAAATGATGACAATAATTGCAATCACAATCATCAGAATAACAAATTTCATATATGATTTGTCTACTATTTGCAGACACTGAAATTGCCATGATTTTTATAATAGCATTTAAAATAAGTGTCATTTTCTCTCTATTTCATAGATGAGAAAAACAAATCTTAAAAAGATAAATCAACTTATTGGAGCCCATCCAACTACTAATTAGTCCCATATGGTTTGACTTTAAGTGTGAATACATTATTCCCTCCTCTCCTTCCCCTTCATGTATGACTTTGTTACTCTACGTTTGGTGAAAAAAATGCAAAGCAGTGAAAAGACGAAAAACACCAACAACATGCCCAGGAAGACCAGGACATTAACACTTCTCAGTCTAAGCTTCACTGGAATAAGTGCATTTACATCCACAGAAACAATCTGTTGCATCAGTAATGTAGTGATTTCTTCATTTAAAATTAGGTGGAATCTTTCTTCTCTCTTTGTCTCTCTTTCTGCGTTTCCCCAGTTGGTGAATATTAGTACCTACATTAAAATCAGTTTGGAAGTGTGATTGAAAATACAAACATGATACTCTTATTCTTCATGTTTCCTGCAGGAGCATACAGGAAAATACAATCAGTATTTGATTACATTCCTTATTATCAAGCAGCTGTTTTGCTCTGCAGACAGAAATTGTATAGCTATTGTGTTTGACAATGGACTTTGGAATATTGTCTTTGCATGTTTAAATTAAATTTTGTCATTTCTATTAATGACATCTTTTTATGTCAAGAATGCAAAAGGAAATTCTAACTAGCCAATCAATTCTTAATTTTAAAAATGTTACAATGTGTTAAATCTGCCCTGCTTAGGCCTGCTTCTGCCATTCCAACAAAGTGATCAGGAATAGGGAATAAGAATTTAAGGGACAATCTGGTGCTTTTGAATCAATTCTATAACCATGTTGTTTTTGTTACCTACCGTCGAGTAGGACCTGACTCATGGCAACCTCTCCTTGGGTTTCTGAGGCAGTAGCACTACAGAAGTAGATTGCCCAAACTTCCTTCCGAGGAGTACATATGTATTTTCTCTAATTAATTAAATTTATCAATATGTATTTTAAATTAATTTTCAATATTGGTCCTTTTGTAAATGCCACCCAACTATAACAATTAAGAGATAGCTAATGATTAGTTAATATTACATAAGGAAATATGTACAATAAAATGTTATCACAAAAATGCAACTATAGTTTTAAAAATACATTTATATTAAAATATAACTTCCCCTCTTTTTTGCCTTCACTAAAGCAAAGATAAAAATAAATAAAAAATAAAAAACTGCTCCATATATTGACAAAAGAAATTGAGAGAATCAAATTCAAGTTTATAAATCTAGCATTTCGAAACATACACTTTCGTATAATTTAATTAGAAGTATTAGATACATATATTTGCATTTAAATGACTTTCTATTTACCTTTCTTCCTATTAAAGTTGGTTCAAATAAAAAAGCCTCATATTTTGCTATGATAATATGAATCTCTGTATTAAAATATTTACTTGATAAGAGGTGCAAAACTACTTATATTTTGTTACTAGTTTATATCTATAATTTCTGAAACCTATAAAACTTAAAGATAATTTTAACCACAAATTTATAATTATGCTCAACTTTTGTATCTATACTAGCTCATATAAATATATAAATATTATAAATATTATTGAATACTAATTTCTTAAAACAGCAGATACATAGACCTCATGATGTTATAACATCCCATATGTTTGTTTAAGTCTTGTTAGCTTAAGTCAACATATTCTGTGAAAACATTTGTTAAATGAATGGTGGACTTCATAATTCAAGAGTAACGAACAGCAAAGTAAATGCCACTTGATCTCACACTAACACAGTGAAAAGAATAATAGCCAAATAGAGAAAACCATAACTAACCTTATGGCAAATGAAATTATGAACAAGACAATTGGCAGAGGTAGGATGTTTAGTTATATATATTAGAGAAATAACACACTTGTAGTTTTCCCAAATTAGACACAGAGTTTTACATGAAGGTAAGATTTGAGCAACCTTTACTCACAAGCACTCACCTACTGTCAGCTGTCCAGTTAACTGCCCCATGTGATTTCTTGCATTCACTGTTACATTCCTGTCAGACTGTAAGACCAGAGGACTATCCTGGGAAACATGTATAAAATAAATGAATCAAACAGAAACATCATCAAAATTTAAAATATATAATTATACTATATTTGTCTGGATATTACCAAAATTTATATATATATATAGTATATGAATAATATTAGGCAGTTAAATTAACACTACACACATTGATTGAAAAATATAAAAATAAGGGTGGCTCATAATAACTACTTAAAACAATAGGAAAATTTCTATTTTGATAAGAGGGCATAAACTATTGGATATAAGCATTTCCAACTCTACTGAGTGCTGTATATTAAAGGTGAAGTAACTCATATCCTTCCCATCTCCCAATTACATATATGGCTATTTGTGCAGATATTTTAGATTTTATCCAAATGAGGAAGTTCCTTTCTAAAACTAATCTGCAGCTATAAGGTCTTAGCTCAATTGTCACGTCATCAAACATGAGTCTCCTGTTCCCTGTAACTACAAACTCCCAAACTCCATTTATATTATTTAAAGTATTTATTTTCCTCAAGTAAGTGTTTACTTGGTTTTTGTTTGTTTTCATTAGCAAAGGAAACATCCATGGGAGAGGAACCATGTTATTCATGTATATGCAGTTATATTCTCAGTACTCAGCATACTGCTGAAGGGAAATCATTTAAGTCATTATTGAATAATAAATAAATCTGTATCAAAATTGATATTGCCTAGTCCATGTAATTCATGTAGATATGCTTTATAAATCTTGTCCAAGGTAAGAAGGTATATGGAATTTAAGATGCTCGCTTGGAAATCCTCTTTTAGGATATATAATCTTGGTTAGATGTTGATTGTCAGTAATTTTTCACTTAGTATTAAAATAATTTATTGAGGCAAAATAGTATGGCTTTAGGAATTTCCATATAATATTTAAGCCCTGGTTTTGCCACCACTTATCTCAAACAAGTTACAAATGCCTACATTCTTATTTTTATGATCATGGTGATCATTTACAAATTAACCATTCATTCATTTAACAAATATTTATTGAGCACTCACTATGTGCAATGTACTATTCTATGGTATTGGGGCATATCAGTCAACAAAACATATAACCTGATCCTCATGGAGCTTGCCTTATAGATCTTAAAAATCTGTGGAAATCTATCCTAATACCATCTTCACCATCTAGGTGGTATATCACTCTAAGTCAACTTAAATATGTACAATATAAAAACTGTTTCAAGATTAAGATTTGGAATTTGGCATTTAGGTGTATATGGAAAGACCCTATAGGCCTTTTCTTAAAAGCCCCTTCTGAATAGATTTAAAGCAATAAGCCAACATGCACGTATACTCACACACATGTGGTTAAATAGTTTTCTTTTAAAATATGTTTTACTAGTATAATTAAGATAATACTTGATTTTTAAATATAATTCCCTCCATTTTTAAGAATATGGTATTCATAAAGTGAAGTATAATCATACAAGTATATTCAAATAGAATTAATTTCTTTCTTAGTTCTAATTTATTACAAGAACTCAGCTGTTTCTTTCTTTCCATTATAAATTAAAAGTTAAGTTTCCACAGTTATAAAAATTAAATCTAATCCCTTTTCAAAGACATTTCTGTCCTGCTGACATTCATTTTTGAGAATATCTGAAGTATTTTAATTTAATTTTATAATTTCTTTTCAGTGGTACATCCTAGTTTTGTTTAGAGTATAGATCAAAGATTTAGGACAGATTGCAAACAAACAGATATTGTACACCCTAAGGATACTACTATATCTGGTAATGATGCAAAGAGAATGATTCATAAAGACACTCAAAAAATGATTGTACTATATAGTGGCAAAAGGCAAGTAAAATATTTAAAAAGGAGCTTTGAAAAAATAAAACTAATTTGAATGTAAGAAACTACAAAGTGTATAAAAGAGCTTGCAGTTAAAAAATTGTAATAAATTACTAATTTAATTTTCTTACAGAGTATTTCTTTATTTTTACAATAAAATATGTTAAATGACTATTGTTCAGACTTCAAAAAACTGGCAAGACTATATGTTTTCATTTGAATTATTAGACATCGTAAATCCTAATTTATGTGAACTCTAGCATAACAGGACAACTTCAAACCAAAAAACCAAACCTTTTGCTCTTGAGTTGATTCCAAATCATAGTGACTCTACAGGAGAAAACAACTGCCCATTGAGTTTCTTAGGCTGGAAGTCTTTATAGAAACATAATGCTACATCACTCTCCTGTTTAGCAGCTGGTGGATTTGCAATGCTGCTTTTTATTTAGTAGCCAAGAACTTGACCACAGCACAACCAGGGTTGTTTATAAAATAGCATAACAATTAGTATATAAAATTTAAAGATTAAGTAAATTATGGAGAGTTCTAGTAGCATAGTCCCTAAGGCATTTGCCTGCTAACAAGAAGGCTGGTGGTTCAAACCCACCATTCTTCCTTGGAAGAAGGTTGGGCAATCTACTTCCATAGTGATACTGCCTCAGAAACCCAGGAGGAGTCACTATGAGTCGGGTATGACTCAATGGCAAATAACAAAAACAACAAGTAAATTATAAAATATATAATTTAAGAATCATTGCTCTATTATCTATTAACACAAAATAACTGTTTATTTTAAAAGACATCAGGCATTCATCAGATTTTATAGACAAATAGACTTGTATTAGAATCATAAGCTTAATGATTATGTGACTCTGTTTACATGATCTATTTCAAATTTTTGTTTATTCTAATCACAGATCTTACTGCAGTTTCATCCCTGACATTCTTCTCTTTACTTCACAATATTTCACAATTTTTCTCCAGATAATTTAATTTTTATATAAAAATAACATTTTTTTCTGAGATAGGTAAACAAATCTCTTTACTGATTAATAAATACATAGACATCAGAGGGAATGAACAATTCCATAGACTGCTGTTGCTTGTTGTTAGGTGCCATTGAGTCGTTTCCGTCTCATAGCAACCCTATGTACAGCATAACAAAACACTGCCCGATCCCGCACCAGCTCCATGATCTCTGCTATATTTGAGCTCATCATTGCAGCCACAGTGTCAGTCCATCTCGTTGAAGGCCTCCCCCTCTTTCGTCGACCCTCCAACCTGCCAAGCATGACATCCTTCTCCAGGGAATGGTCCCTTCTGACAACATGACCAAAATAGGTGAGATGAAGTCTGGCCATTCTGGCTTCCAAGGAGCATTTTGGGTGCACTTCCTCCAGGACAGATCTGTTAGTTCTTTTAGCAGTCCATGGTACTTTCAGCATTCTTCATCACCACCACAACTCAAAATCATCAACTCTTCTTTGGTCTTCCTTATTCATTGTCCAGCTTTCACATGCTTACGAGGCTACTGGAAATATCAAGGCTTGTGTCAGGCGCACCTTAGTCCTCAAGGAGACATCCTTGCTCCTCAGCACTTGAAACAGTTCCTCCGTGCTTGACTTTCCCAATGCTACACGTTGTCTAATGTCCTGACTGCTACTTCCATTGGCCTTGATTGTAGAACCAAGCAACATGAATTCTTTGACAACCTCAATCTTCTCTCTATTTATTGTGCTCATTGGTTGAGTTGTGAAGATTTTTGTTTTCTTTATATTGAGATGTAATCCATGCTGCAGACTGTATTCTTCAACCTTCATCGGTAAGTGCCTCAAGTCTTCTTCACTTTCAGCAAGCAAAGTCGTATCATCTGCATACAATCCATAGATTGTAGTCTTGTGCAAATCAATATCTTATTATGCTACACAAATATTAAACATCCACCACTTGTCTGTCAGTTTGTCATACTGTGCTGGCTTGTGCGTTGCCATGATGCTGGACACTATGTCATCAGTAATTCAAATATCAGCAGGGTCACCCATGGTGGACATTTTTCAGCAGGGCTTCCAGACTGACACAAACTTGGAAGAAGGATGAGACATTGTACTTCTGAAAAATTAGCCCCTGAAAACCTCATGAGTGGCAGTGAAACACTCTTATGTGTTACTGGAAAAGTATGAAAAGTAGTGACACATTACCTGATACTGTGTCAAAAGATGAATGCCTTAGGTTGGAAGTTACTCAAAATACAATCAGGGAAGACCTGCCTTCTTAAAGTAGAGGCCCTTTTGAATCAAGCAATCATTTGGTCTACTATACTGGAAATGACAAATTGAAGAATGGCATAACATTCATTATCAAAAAGAACATTTCAAGATCTACCCTGAAGTACCATACTGTCAGTGATAAAATAATATTCTTGTCCCTACAAGAAAGGTAAGTTTCTACTACTATCATTAAAATTTATGCACCAATTACTAAAACCAAAGATGAAGAAATTAAATATTTTTAAAAACTTTTAATAACTGAACTTGAGTGAACATGAAGTCAAAATATATTAATTATGACTGGTGATTGGAATATGAAAGCTGGAAACCCAGAAGAAGCATCAGTAATTGGAAATTATGGCCTTGGAAGAAGAAATGATGCTGGAGAACACATGATAGAATTTTTTAAGACTGGTGACCTATTCATTGCAAGTACATTTTTCAACGACTTAAACAGTGACTATACACATTGAACCTCCCAGGTGAAATCAAATGAATCAAAATGACTACATCTATGGAAAGAGGTGATGGAGAACTTCAATACTATCAATTAGGATAAGGCCAGTATTTGATTGTGGAACAGACCGCCACTTGCTCATACACAAGTTGAGATTGAAACTGAAGAAAATTAGAACAAGTCCACAAGTGCAAAAATGCAACTTTAATTATATGCCAACTGAATTTAGACAATCCAAAGAATAGAGAATAAGGAGAAGGATATCATGCTTGGTAAAGTGGAGGGTCAAAAAAAAAAGGGAAGGCCTTCAATGAGACAGATTGACACAGTGGCTGCAACAATGGGCTCAGGTATAACAAGGATCATGAGGCTGGCACAGGACCAGGTAGTGCTTTGTTCTGCTGTGTATAAGGTTAGCATGAGTCAGAGATGACTTGGTGGCACTTAACAACAATAACAACAAAGAA